TTCCATCCCAGACCATACTCACCCATGTACTACATTGGTAAAGCAGAAGGGGATAGCTGTCCATCCCTGCCATGCCTTGTATTGAATATATTGGTATGGTCTGCTTTTCAAAATAGGGTTTCATAGTCACCCATTGCACTTTTTCAGGTGTTGTCGTTCCAAGCCACTGGGGTGGTGGACAGTGGAGGCATTTTCCTGAATGTAATAATAAAATACAAATAACATACATAAATGATTACAAAACCATTCAGTTGAGAGTAGGGCAGTGGTGTTCTGCTGGTGTAGATGACGAGATATCCTCCACTATGTATAACATTTGAGTGAGCCATCAAAATTGCAGTTCACCTCTTTGATTGGGATCCCTCATCCTGCCCCCATGTGGATGTCAGTTACCAGTGGCTGGGTTTTTAATTTAGAGCTGAACCAATCAAAATACATCCTCTCACATGTATTACAGATGTCTCCATTCCTTCACTCATTTCTACTCTTGTTACTCCATCCGTGTTTTGGGTCATGGTGTAAGTACTTGCAGATTACTACAGTTCTTCTCCTTCCACTATCCCTCGATGATTATTATTCAGATAATGCTCTTGTGCTTGGGGTGGTTCCTGTCATAATATATTTGAGTGAGATGGTTTACATTACATAGACATTTTTTTTTATGCTGGAAGTCAGGTTCCCAAATCAATCGTTGAATTTCTCACATTGTTATAAAAAAACAACATGCCCGTACATGGATTGGGGGTACGAGATTCCCTCTGATCTTATGAACTTGAGGTAAAGACGGTATGATCCTCTTTCCTACCCCCACCAGATGGCTAGGTTTTGGATTGTAGTTGACTTGCCAACAGTATGATCCTCTTTCCTACCCCCACTTGGATGTCAGTACCCAGTGGTTTGGGTTTTGGATTGTAGCGACTTGCCCACAGTATGACCCTCTTTTCTACCCCCACATGGATGTCAGTACCCGGTGGCTGGATTTTGGAGTGTAATTGACTTACCAATAGTATGACCCTCATCCTACCTCTGCATGGATGTCAGCTACTGGGGGTGTGAGTTTTGGATGTAGTTGACTTACCGTGTAGAGTCTGTCGTGCCCTAGCCGCTCTACAACTAGGGGCACATCCTTTAATCTTACCTATTTTTATGCTTTGATTGAGTTTCATTACTTTAATAAATTATGTATGGTTTGGATCACAATCCTGCCATAGTTCTCTCCCATTTGGAGGTGCTTCTCCATTTTTACACCCCTATATGCAACATCTTATCACAATGGGGGAGGGGTACACCTGGTTCAGAATGGTGCAGTCTTTCAGGTATGATCTTCGACTCCGAAGATCTTTTGGGAAATGTCCGTCAGATGCTTTCGAAGGATGTTTCATTCTTTCCGTTGCACTAGTCCCTCCACCTATTCAACATGGGATTCTAGTTATTTATGTGAGAGGAGGTAACGTACCGTATCCGAAGTTATAATTTTCCAATACTGAAAATGTATTTCTGATAGGTACTTACCTCCACTCCAGCTTTCCACTCTTCCTCTCCACTGAAAACTGGTGCTTCTATTTTCTGCCAATATTCAAAGTGATGGTTTGGTATAATTGAATAGAGGGAGTCTCATGCTTCAAGAGATTGTGTCGCAATTTTAGTGGTGGAGGGTTGTTACATGATAACTTGCATGCAAGATGCATTGGAATTAGTCAATTCCAAATAGGCTTGAGGCGTGTGCAAAAACATTTTTTGCATATAGAGGGCAGCAAGAATAGCTATTTATGTAAGAGGAGGTAAGTACCTATCAGAAATACATTTTCAGTATAAGAAAATTGTAACTTCTGACATTATGCATGGGATATTTGATTTTACTTTCAGATTTGATGTGTTCAACCTTTTTTCTGTCCAACACATTGCTTCCTGACATCATTCCAAGTACCCATTCATAAAACTTAAAATGTTAAAGATGGGAATAAACTATAAAAAATGTATTTGCACTTCAGAGGAGTATTGCACAGTTCAATATAAATGAAACAAGTTGCACACATTTATTTACTCAGTGGCAACAATGCCAGAACAGTTTGGCTGAAGCCTTCTGATTGTAACTACAGGTAGTAGAAATGCATCTAATGATAAAACTAAATGTCATAAGAGCAGTGCAAAACTTTTAATAAGATAGTATTTCAGCTTACCGAAATACTTTTAACTAATTACCATAGCTATATTATGTTGCTAAAGTTGATGAGGTAAAGAAAGTTAGCTATAGCTTATTATTTATTGTACAAACATTTTTGCACACATTTTAACAATCAAACTACAGAGTAAAACAGAATAGAAATCCAGAGGCCAGCATAGCTGGAATTTACTTCTCAATAATTGTAAGCTTACTCTTGATCTTGACACATAAACTCCATTTTGCATTATTACAACTCAAAGACTGCTATTTATTTAGTTTAAACATAACAACCTAGAAGAAGAAGACTTGCACACTAAATAATCTGTGTAAAAATAAAAAATATACTTAGAAACTTGAAAATGTCAAATAAGTTGTATCATAAAGTGTGGGTACTGTGAAAGGAAGGGGAGTGGGATGTAGTGGGTTCAATATTTATGTATAAAATGTTTAAAAGGTGTAAAAATAGCCTCGTATACCATCAGAATGCACCATTTTCAGTGAACATTACAAACATTTTTCTGGGGGGGGGCATGCTCCTGACACACCGACTATGGCTTTGCCACTTTTTTTTTTTTTACAGGAGTAGCATTCCTATTTATAGATTGCCTACTACACCCCTGCATGTGCATACTTATATTTAAAATCAAACAATATGGTAAGACTATTCAGAGTTCTACACTGTTTTTTTTTTTATCCTATGCTTCTTTGAACTAGTAATTATATGGCATCTTTAAGGGCCTAAAAACTAAGAGAAGTAAAGGTAGTTCTGAAAATACAAGCAGCATTAGAGATTACCAAAGGATACAGACAGCATAAATTACAAAGAAAATTACTTTACAGCACTTAAAAGATTAGTCCTGTTCACATTCCTCTCATTACAGGCAAGATTTATGTTGGAATGTGAAACTTAAGCTCTTCAATGTATTGAGACCCCAACTGTGAGAATGTCATAGCTTCCCTGTATTATTGGG